TATATATAAGCTGGATTTATCTCATACCTTTTCAATAACCGCTTTCTTAATGTATTTGCCAGCGGTTCAGGTGTCAGTCTTCATTTACCGCCCTATTAATCCCTTATGATCCTTTAATTCTGAAATTTGTGCAGGTCTTCGCTCGAAGTTCACCATGTGGTGGAATTGGGAATTGGAAACATGTTCCTAGAAATAAGTTCTACCGTTCAGACCGGAAAGCTTCTGAGGCTTCCGTCATCGCAAGCCATGTGCTTTCGAGTTTGAATGGTATGACATTTGCGTCCAGCAGGTCAAACTATCACTGGGATCAGTGTTCAATGCGTTTTGTAATTAGAAATGTTTTGGCGCAGGAAATAGTTTGATCGGTCAGGTCTTCCGAGCTCAGCGGATGAGATAGTGTTGTTAGGAGGCCCGGCCCACTGCGTAATGTTTGATACAGCGTTTGAAAAACTTCATCTTCTCCCTTAGCCACGAGGTGAAAATATAGTTAAACAAGGACCTGAAGTGAATTAAGCATGAATATTCAACAATGCTCATTTCAGAGTAGGAATATACGGATGGCGGAAGCGATGTCTCTATTGCTTTATTCTTATTCTAACTATAGTGATCGTACTCAATTTGGCCTTAACTGCTTGGATCATGTCAGTGTTGGATTTCTCAACGGTATGTTTTTTTTTTGCTTTAGAAAACGCTTTTTCGTTGCCATTTTATTCGGGGTTTTATATGAGCAGTTAAATGGGAGATCCTGGCTAATCCATCCATTTCTGGTCGGACGAATGTTATGCTTGGAATTACCATTCCCATGCACGCGGACGAACGGGCGTCGGTTGCGCCATAGAAGACTTAAATAAGCTTTTCGCGCCCTTGACAGAATCGTATAGCTCCAGCTGTTACACCCAGCTTTGGTTTTTATTGTACTAAATGTTGGGCTTTCGCTGACGATCACAGCGTGGAAACAAATTGATCATTTTGATCGGTAGTCAATAAGATGAAAATGTAATGTTATGAGGGTATAAGGAGGGAGTACCGCTCTTTTCGAACACTGAGCGCTGACTGCAGAGAAGTGAGCTAAGAATATGTTTATAGGGCCTATGAAGGCTGTCTGTATAATGAACCATACATGAAATTTATAAAATTTGCTCGATTTTTTCAGGATGGTATGGGTGCGTTGAAAATTCAAGAAGATGGTATTCGAGTTGAAGGCAGGGCACTATTTGATAAGCCTGTTTCGTTTTCACAGCTCAGCACTGTGAGGGTAAAGTTTTATTAATATTCGTTAATCCTGGTTAATGTTCTCGGTTGAATTCACGTTTTCTTCTCTCAAAGATCTGAAATTCAGTTCAAACTCAATGAGAACTGTTTGGTATGAAATAACAGTCGATCAATGGTTTTTGCATATCTACGTGCATATACAAAGACTTACGAGTGCAAATATAAAAAAAGTACCCTTTTTTATATTAAGATGCAATAGTATTTTTGAACGAAACTTCATGAACTCACCATTCGGATGCTATGACATTTATTTTAATTAATCGCCATTTCGGTTTTGTGAACGCTGTAGTTGTTTCACAAAGCACATGTTGAAGACCACAATTGTTCCGCCCAGGAGAGAAACAAGACCACAATTGTTCCGCCCAGGAGAGAAACAAACTGGTTCATGTAAAAGAATAGTAACTTATTTGCCTTGGACAATGCTAAGATTGTGCATTTTTTAAAGTCTAAGCCGCAAGAGTAACTTGGCGTTATCGTGAACGTTATTGAATTTGTAATCTTCTGAATACTGCCGTCTATAGGCTGCGTTCTCTATCCCTCAGCTTTTTCAGCATAATTGGATTCCAACTGTCTAAGGTTGATATATTTGTCTTGCTTGCCAACATACATTCGTGGCAACTATTATCTGAAATATGATGGGGTTGATATTCCCTGTAAAACAGATTGGCCTTAAATTTATCGGCTGTCCCTATCCCCACGGTTTCCTTGAGTATCTTACGGGAAGCTTGTGCATGAGAACGGACATATGCAAGTACCGCTCAGAGATGCACCGTTCACAATGACGAAATTCTGTTTTTTTTTCTTCGTTCTAATGACATCTTGATCTTTCACTTTGACCCTTGAGGATAAAATCGAGTTTTAATCAAAGTCTCTGTTGTTCAAATCAAATTCTTCTTCTTCCGTTGGTTGCTGTGTTTCTTAATAGTGTTCATAACAGAACCTGTGGCTCGACCTTTTCGTTGTAGCCGCCTTTTGAGCGCATTCAATAAAATAAAGTAAAATAAAATAAACAGATTTACGTGATAATGAAAATGAACAGTCGCTCGAGTGCGTTGAAATCTAGATACTATTTTTGACGGTACATTATATATATGTGTACATGTACATAATTTTGATATTATACACTGTTATAGTGTTATCAAATTATTATATTTGATTTAGGATGAAGCGCTCTTCATAGATTCAGCTCGGGGTATACACATGCAAGCACGTAACGCTAGCGGCCACGTCTCGTCCCGATTATCACTTACGTCCGACGGGAAAACGCAAGCAATTTGCGATCGATTCGAGGTACTTTATTGAACTTTAATATTAAGCTGAGGTTACGGATCAGCAGGATGAGTGTGTAGGTTCAATGTGTCGGTTACCTTGGAAGTTCGTGATAAGCAACAAAGATCGTTGCATACGGGCAGTCGACTTCCGAGTCACATAAACCATGCGCGCGGTTACAGCCGCCATGCTTGTGGCATCTGATCGGCATGACTGTGGGATTGTCTTGAATTGACTGATTTTCACTTCCTTATAGTCGCGTAATGTCTAATTGACTAATGGCCATATTGACAACGCTTTAGGGTGCTATTCAGTTTGAAAAGTAGAAAAGAGGAGCTGTGGGCCTGGTTCTGCTTTCGTTTACGTCCTCTCTTCATGACCGTGACAACCCCGAGAACGCTAACCTTTGAACACATTCGCCGATCGCGCGTCTAGTTGAAAGGTGTTTTACTGATCGTTATTTACTCGCCAGGATGTTTGAAAACATTTCCATCAGGCCCCAACGTGAATCTTTGACGCAAGCCGCAGCAACTTTTCTGCTCCTGTGTGCACCATTTCTTAAAACTGTAGTTTACTGTGTGCGAATTTAACTTGACCCTATTTTATTTAGTAGGGCGTTTCACGACCTGATCGTCCTTTTGCTCGAAGATGAAAAGTTGACCATCCCCTCTTTGGCAAGCCCGCATACTTCTCTCCACTTTTACTGAGTTTGAGTTAAGGAAGGAGTGAGCCGCTCTGCAGTCCTTTGCGCTCGTGTGATTCCTTCTTGACGAACTGCACATCTCATCGCCCTCATCCTTGTTGCTTCACTGCATTGTTTTCTGTCCTGAATGCGATACCGTATCAGTCATTGCCTCCCTAAAGTATGCCCTATGCGTTAAACTCGCCCTTTGCCGCAACCAGTGTTTCTTTTTTTTACTTTTTCAACAAGGCTTGTTCAGGTGTTCGATCCGGATAATCGACTGCTATTTTTCGCAGATTCAAAGGAAATCGGCCTCAAACTGGAAAATTTACGCATATTAGGTGAGTGGCTCTATATGCTTAATCCCGAAATCGTTGGTCAAAGAGGCGTTGTTGCTTTGAAACGATTGAAATCTGTGCATTCTTTTCTGTTCTTCTACTAAACTTTGTTTTTTTTTTGTCTTTAGCATTTCCGCCGAGTTATCATCAGCCGGGTCACCCGGCTTACGCCGATCTCTCCTTGAGGTGTTAAATTTGGCCTGCCACCTTCTTATCTTCCAATCGGATGCTCTGCAATAGGAGAACAGCGGTTGTGAATTTTCGAAAACACACGCATACCCATACAAGCACACACATACATGCACACGGACACGGGCGCACATCCCGACACACATCGTGAGCGCTCTCCATAAGGGGGTCCTGCTCAAGATCTGCACGATCACGCAATTTTTCATCGCCTACTTTTTTCAACTTGGCAAGAATTTTACTCAGTTTTCACTCATGTTGCCAACGCTTCGTCTCCTACCCCACTCTGTCGTCCCCCGAAAGCGGAGTTTAGTCATGCCACCTATCATGAGCGTTCTCTTCCTACCGTCAAGGTCCCTTCTAAATTTGAACGTTTCCCCCTGAGCTTTGTCGTGCCTCCAACCGTTGGTGTTGCAATCCTGCCGTCTGAACTGCTACCAAATTTGGACGCCCCGCCCCAGACATCAGTGAACCCGTTTTGCCGTCTGTACTCCTACCGTTAAACGCAAGTCCAAAAAGAAGGGGTTGTGAATTTACGGTCAAACACCGACACATGCTTATACCGCGCCTGCCCTGAAAATCTATGCTTCAGCACTTACATGAGTTATAATTTCAGATGAAGGCGGCAGTGTATTTGAAGGCGCTATACAGACAGCGTTACTGCAACCTGAACCAGACACTCCTCTCAGGTGAGCTTGATTTCGTCTAGCTTTTGACAACCTGTGACTACCTTCTAGTTTAGATTGGAGTCTCCAACCCGGAGCGTTTCCGTGGATGCAGCTCAAGATATTGAACTGATGGCTGGCGCTGGTGAGGTGCGAGTAAACACGCTTCTAGATGTCTCCCTATCGTCGAAACAGGTTGGTTGAAGCGATAATTCTATAGAATTAAGTGTTGGATCTGATTCGAACTAAGTGAGACATCGTAAGCGGGTGACCTACTTAATTTTACAAAAGAAGCTACTGCTGGCATTAAGCATTTCTGAATTCGCTAGTAACGTACACTGAGAACGATGCAAGACATATATGAAAAGGAACACAATCTTGGATTTGCTCCGATTTTTTTCTAAATTAAAGATCATCTTACTTCTGATACGGCCACAGTTGTGAAGTGGTATCTTTTATTGTTTTTTTTTCCAAACTGTCTGTACGCGGTGGATGGGTACTTTGACCATTTGCTTCCTTTTTATGACAGCTTGTAGAAAACTGTAAACGGCAGGAAGCCAATGATACTTGAGGTTCATCTCCATCAAACAAAATTTTTGAACAATAAAATTTAAATATATTCTGATGTTAAATGCATAGATCGGTCTTCATTGATTATTTGATACATTCGCTCACTATGCCGTGCTTCACTGTTGGTCGAGCATGGTTATATTAAAGCATCTATTTACCCTAAAATCCCATAGATAAGAGCGGTTTAATTTACCGGTGAAAAATGAATTGGAATGAAATTGCTTCTTCTAAACTTCTTC